AAGGCAAACCATCAACTTCGAATTCATGCTTTCTTTGTATGGGAAAGGTGTGTCTTCCCTGTAGCTTTACCTGTATGAATAAATAGTGCATATAAGATTTCAGTGACCTTGGAAGATCGTTAAGTGGGGGGCGGTTGATCAGTGACTTACTATATTTTGTGTTGAAAAGATTTTGTACATCCTTTCTCAGCTGATTATCTTGAGCAAACTTCCTAGTATTTTCTTCGAACCTAACAAAAAAGATTAATTAGCAAGGTCATTGAGAACCAAGACGCACACATTCTTTCCTTAATTAGGCATAACACATATACCATACAGTCATTACCATTGTTATTGAATAAAGAAGAGGCAAGTTGTTGTATCGTTCTATCACTGAATTTATTGGTGATGGAATCAGATTCAGCAATATAATATTTATCCTTTCTGAAACCAATAACTAATGTGTGACATCCATAATCTTCCAGTATCTTGCACCAAAATAAAATTTATTTATAAATTGAATGTGAAACCTGCAATTAATAGGTGTAGAATATTATACCATTCAGTATCATTGTACAATTATTATTGATTCAATGATATAAAGAGATGGATATAGAGCAGTTATGCATGGCATAAAGAGATGCATATAGAGCAGTTATGCATGGCATAAAGAGATGCATATAGAGCAGTTACGCAAGATATTATAGATAATTAAATCATGCATTATAGTGTATAAAAATACTAATGAATTATTGTGAACTTTTAAATAATCTTGCATTTACCGTATTATTGCGTAGTTTTGTAAAATATTGCTTATTTTATTAGTTTTCTGCAGCTCTGTAAGATTTGTACTTTCTTCTTCTGCTGCCAACTGATTATATCTGGCTTTTTCTTCTGCAGGCATTTCCCTAAATTTAGCTGCTGCTTTCTTGTTGAAATTAGGTAATTCACATTCTTTTAAGGTATTTTTACCCTCTAAAAGTTGTATTCCCAAAACAACATTAATTTATTAGATCAATAATCTTTTATGATACATATATACTCTTTCTGAAATATGTTCCATCCACATTTTGTGCGATCTTTTCGGGGAACATTAGAATGTGCATATTTTATTGCCTCAGAAGATTTGACCCTTTGAACTTTAACTGCCTTTCCTTTTCTTCTTTGAGCCTGCTTGGCAATCCAGCTCTGTAAATTAATTAAATTCACACAAAAAAAATTAATTGATTACTGAGTGAGTAATGACAATACATTATTTTTTATACTGACAGTGCATTCATTAGCAAGTTATGACATATATAATGCTTTAGTGCTTTATTTCATGTCTATAAACTGCATATAGTATGAATATGTATAAAATAGTCATACCTTATTTGTATGAATATATGCATATCATAACATGCATTAATTTATATGTTTGGCAGTAACATGAATATTTATGACCTGAATTGGCTTACACAAACCTTCACTTGCTTTTCAGTTAAACTAGTTTCTGCCGACGCAGCAGCAATCTGGCTTTCAAACTTCTTCCCAACACCAACCATACCGTTATCAAAATAAGTTAAAAGAGTTGCTTTTTGATTTTCGCTAAACGACATTGTTGATTTAAAATGTGCGCTAAAATCAGTCGAATAATTTCAAAGTAAAGACCGGTGTTTATAAGAACAACTTGTAACTTCAGCAGACGACGATGTAAGGAGAATTGTAACTTAAGGGTACTTGGTAAATACTGTATTGTTTATTGAAACAACTAATTTCCGTGTCTATTTCATAAAAAATAAGTGTATTTCATAATAAATATGCGCACGAGAAGCACGTGGAGTACATAGCGTGTTTACATTGTACGTATTTCCGGTACTGTTGGCATGCAAGCGACGAGATTGGCCGGGATTAGTCACCTGCCTACTATAACAACTGCCGCCTGAAACTAATCTCATAGTTATTATAATAGATAGATTCTGGCGAATCGCCTGCACAGACAGACTTGTAAAATCAGCAAAACAAATAATATATAAGACATGCATATAAGAAACCCACATATAAGAATCGCGGCAAGGAAAAGGTACAGATCTCCAACCAGTCGTGCCCCTGCATTGACCGGCCGAGTATCTGCAACCGGAGTCGCCAATATGAAAATAGTGACATGAAGTAGAGGAGCGCTAGCTTTACCCCTGTATCAACATTGCGCCCGATTACCAATGAGTCTCATCCTAGTTATCGTAGTTGCAACTAATGTGGGATATAACGAAATAAGTACGAACTAAGAAGTGTGCAGCCAAGGTCAACCCCCGCCAGGCACGGCAATAATGACTCATGTCGACATATGATGCGACATAGGTCGCGAAGATAAGTTCGGACTACGAGTGTACTTGCGGAATAGGTCGGATTTCCACCTACCCATTACGATTTGGGCGTCAGAAAAACCGCATTCCGCAGCGAAAGTAGCTGCACCAATTCGAAAACTGTGCCCCTTATACTTAGTAGGGTCAAGACCACATGCACGAAAAATCAAAGCCAAATGCTCAGTAAATAGTCTGCGTGTTACTGCGCGCCCATCGAGAGTGCAAAAAAAGAGGGCCATCGGATAAACCGCGACGCGCAAAATAGTCTAGTAATGTCTGCACAGGGCAAATATTGGAACGGCGATGAAGTGCAAGAGAAGCACGAGGTTGATTGTAGGAATGTTTAAAGTTCGCAAAATTGATTTTCAAACCGGAAATATTACCCAAATTATCAACAAGCTGAACCACTTGAGATAATTGAAGCACGCCTGGAGACCGTGGGCAACTCGTTATTCCACAGATATTATTTCAGACAAAATTTGTTCAAAAACCAACAAGTTTAACCACGGCCAGGTTACTAAGCTAAAAAACAAAATCCGAGATGGCGGATAATTCAAATGAAAACAATGATGAACCGTTCCAAAAATATGTAGTTAAATACGTTGGAGGACCCAAATATGATTTTTCTAATTTGCCAAATGCAAAAACTAAAAGTGGTAGACGCAGACACTCATTTTGTAGACGCAAAGTACCCCAGCATTTAGAAGGTGCGTACCAACTATATACATGTACACTGTAATATGTAAAAACTTTAAATTAAAATTTCAAAACTCATTAATATTTCATGAAGAAAAGCCGTGTCAGTGGTTTAATATGTGATAAAAGATCATGCTATCTAAATTGCATGCATAGCTAAATTTTAGCTTTGATTTTCTCGACTTTGACAAATGACACGGTTTATGTTTAAAATTTTTTCGCCAGTTAATAAGTAAATGGATTCGTTTTTAAATCATTTAAAACATTCGTAGGTCGTGTTTTATCACGTATAAAACACTCTGCTTCGCGTCATGTTTTGTATGCGATGAAACACTCCTTACTCATGTCTTAAATAGTATATTCTGTAATATAGTAGCATGTATACCTTTATTGTTATTTACAGTAAATCTATGTAAAGATCAGTTAAGAGATTAAATTGGATTTAATAGAATCCGACTGTCCATTTAAACAAGGCTTTAGCGCATGGACAGATTTTGGATGACTTGCTTTGGAGGTTCCCGGTTCTTCAAAAATGCAGAAATAAGTTTGACTGTCTGGTTTTCGAAATGCTTTTCATTAAAGAACTAAAGCCTCGCTTAAATGGACAGTCGGATTCTATTAAATCTAAAATATTTTAATTAGTCCTATGTTGTACATTATTACACCATAGCTTTTATCCTTTATTTATAATGTTTTTTCAGTTTCATGCTAACAGTAAACTTTCTGGTCTTGCTTGTCAAGAAAGTACAGTTTATATTGTACTATTCTATCACAGTCAATTAAGTTTATTGATTTGCAATGTATTAACTTTGTTATATTCTTACCAGATTCAGGAGCAAGTAGTTTTGTGAAGATGAAAGTCAACTAGATATGGTAAAATATGTGCAGAGTATATAGATTAACCCATTAAGTTCCAGAGCTCCCCACTAACAAGTAAAATACTGGTGTTTGTCAAAAAATATATGTAGGGCAGGCTGTGTCAGTAGGTAATTACTACAGTTGGTACTGTGGCTTGCAGTGGTAGTATAGTGGCTGCTGCATGCCCAGCCTGGAACTGAGCTTATTTTTATGCTGTTCAAATTACCATCTTACAATTAATTACAGCAGTGGGTTCAGAAATTCAATCTTAATTCTAAGCTTGGAATATTTTCTTTTGCCTCCTATCAATTGAGACTCTGGTACTGTCTAGTCACATAACAATAGTTATGTTTTTGCAGATTTTCTAGGGAAAGGGCATGTTCATTTATGTAGGTGCATAATTATGCTGGTCAATGTGGAAGTTGTTACTTACTGCAAAATAGTATGTCTACTTAATTTTACTAATCCCTAGAAACAAATTAATAAATGGCTATTATGACAGGTACTGTAATGTGGCTTAAACTGAGATCTTAATTGAAGCAAACCTTCTAGTGATATGTTAAAAATATTTTAAAAAATTAAAAAATATTATTGTTTTAATGCAAATAATAGCTGTACATTTGACTCTTTTTTAAAGACTGAAGAAGAGTCATCGACATTCAGAAATCAATATGTTGGTGCAATTTCCAGTAATGATTCTTACTTTTCTGAAGTATGCAGAGCAAATGCAGCAATTCCTGTTGGCTTGACTTTTATGGCTTTTGTCGTAAGTTCCCAGCGCAGAACACCAGTCCACGGAGCGCGAGTTAATATGTAGTAAAACTTTATGTAAAATATCTGATTTGGGTAATGTGATCTAACTAGTAATTGTAATATGATATAGGGATATACCAAATAATGACCCATTGTATATAGCAAAATGAAATGTAATCTATCGATAATAAATCAGAATATACAGTCCCTTCGAGTGTGAACGTTTGATGAACCAGAAAGGCAGAATAAACGAAAGATTCTGCAACACAGTGGTCCTTCGAGCCGGATTGTATGCTGGATAGTTAAAGCGGATTGTGGAAACGTTAGTTAGACTCGCATGGCAGTCGCCGCACAACGACCTAGATCGAACACATGGATGACCTAGCTAAGAAAAGACGCGTACGAGGTGGGCAAAGGTCGTCTACGAAGAAGCTTGTGGCAAAGATAGTCGAAGCGATCGCTAAGTTAAGCGATGAGAGTCCAGAGAAAGACGTCGTGTGGCTGAAACAGAGTCAAAGCTCCTTGAAGGAAAAGCTCAAAGTCTTAAGAGAACTTGACACGAAAATCATCGATGCCCTGAGCGAGTCGAAAGAAGAAGCGGCGGATGAATTGATGGCAAAGGAGATAGAAGAAGCAGACGAAGTAATCGCAGAACTTGAACGCCTTTTACTTGAAATGGACAACGCGTTCGGTAAATTAGAATTGACAACGACAAAACCCGTGGCGATCAATGACAATGAGATGCTGAACGAAAGCCAAACATCGGTTGAAAGCACGGGCAAAATCATAAGAGCAAAGTTACCAAAGTTACGGTTGAAAAACTTTGGGGGGAAAATTTGCGAATGGCCAGAGTTCTGGGACAGTTTTTCGAGTTCGATCGATAACAATGATCAATTGTCGGACGTAGACAAATTTGCATATCTACGCGGATACCTTGAAGGGCCGGCAAAATCGACCATCGCTGGTCTGTCATTAACAGCAAGGAATTATCAGTGCGCGGTGGATCTGCTTAAGAAACGATTCGAGAAAAGAAGTGCAATTCAACGCACACATATGAATGACCTCATTCAACTGCCTGCGGTTTTTAGAGAAAGGGACACTCAAAGGCTGCGGAAGTTATATGACAGCTGCGAAGCGCACAACCGCGCGTTGAAATCCTTAGGCGTGGGAGAAGAATCGTATTCCACTATTGTTGTACCGGCCATATTGGAGAAGATGCCTGAACAATTTCGGCTTATGATCACCCGAGGAACTGATTTCATTGAGTGGACGATGCAAGAAATGTTGGATGCGTTTGAGAAGGAGTTAGAACTGCGAGAGGCGCACGAAGCGGTGGCGACTAAAACGGAACGGGAGTATGAAAGAAATCAAAGCAGGAAACCAACTGGGGGTCTAGATAACGCGACAGAGGCGGCGTTGCTGGCTGGTCAAGAGAAAAAGAGTTGTGCATTCTGTTTAAAGAACCACGCGCACGAAGAATGTGATGGAGTCAAGGATCCAAAAACACGTAAGACCCTAGCTTTAAAGTATGGTAGATGTTTTCAATGTTTAATTAAGGGCCATAGAGCCAGTAATTGTAGTTCTAAAATTAAGTGTCGAAAATGCGACCGAATGCATCATGTCGCCCTATGTGATGCGTCTCTGAAAGACGAAGAGACCTGTAAGAATGAAGAAATCCCATCAACTAAGGTTAACAATAATGTAGCTAGCCCATGTAATAACTTGCTTGCCGGGACAGGTGGTCTGGTTGCCTTGCAAACTGCGCGCGGGGTATTAACGGGTGAGAGGGTGGCTAAGGTCCGGGTACTCTTTGATGGGGGAAGTCATCGCTCTTTCGTTACATCGCATGCAGCGAGTCTTGTTAATCCACGGGGTTTAAGAAGGGAATTTCTAGGCATTAATACGTTCGGTCAAAAGTGCACGAAGGCTGAACAAAGGGAAGTGGTCGAGCTTAAACTTCAGCCTGTTAATGGGGATAAGATTATCTCAATAGAAGCATATGTGGTACCAGAAATTTGCACTGTGCAGAATAGTCACGTAGAATTAGCTAGAAAGAATTATTCGCATCTAGAGGGGGTATGGTTCTCAGATGTGGTGAATTTTCAGGAAGAATTAGAGGTAGACGTTTTGATAGGGGCAGACTATCTTTGGAATTTCCAAACAGGTGAGACAAAGAAAGGTAAGACAGGGGAGCCCGTAGCTATACAAACTGAGTTGGGATGGGTGTTGTCAGGACCTCTTAAGGGAAGAGAGATAGAAGGTGCTGGAGTGACTCAGGTGAACTTTGTGGGGCAGACAACGAAATGGGATAGAGATAGCTTAGAAAGTAATGTGGAAAAACTTTGGAGTTTTGAAGGATTGGGTATAATTGAAGAGGACACAGTTCATGAAACATTTCTTGATGGAATATCATTCACAGGTAATCGATACTCAGTAAAACTGCCCTGGAAGGAGGATCATGACAATCTTCCAGACAATTACATGAATAGTCTTGCTAGAATGAAAAGCCAGTTGAAACGACTGGAAAAGGAGCCAGAATTGTTGAAAGAGTACGATAGGATAATAAGAGATCAGGCAGAGCAGGGAATCATAGAGCAGGTACCAAGTCTTGAGAAAGCAGGCAAAGTTCATTATCTACCTCACCAAGCAGTAATTCGTAAAGATGCAGTGACAACTAAGGTACGCATAGTATATGACGCGTCCTTGAAAGGAATAAAATCTAAAACATCACTTAACGACTGTTTGCATGTTGGACCATCGCTCAATCCATTGCTTTACAGTATATTGTTACGTTTCAGAGAAAATAGAGTAGCATTAGTAGCAGACATCGAAAAGGCATTTTTAAATGTAGAGGTAGACAAGGAAGACCGAGACTCTCTGAGGTTTTTATGGGTGAATGAGATTGCAAGCAGCGATAGGGAGGTAATGGTTTACAGATTTTGCCGTGTAGTATTCGGATTAAACTCATCGCCATTTTTACTCAATGCCACCTTGAGGCATCATGTCTCAAAGTACAAAGAAATAGACCCAGAGTTTGTATGTAAGGTTCTTGAAAGCTTTTATGTGGATGACCTGGTCAGTGGAGAGAGAAGTGAAGGAAAAGCATTTAAGTTGTATGAGAATACAAAGACTAGGATGGCAGAAGGAGGGTTTAATCTAAGGAAATGGCTAACAAATAGCAAAGCATTGAGTGACCAGATTGATCGGAAAGAGAGAGGGATAGATAAGACAAACCCAGATGGCGGGGGAGAGAGTGAGACTTATGCAAAGTTTTCATTAGGAACAAAGGGGGCCGACTCTAAATGCCATAAGGTTTTGGGGCAGATATGGGATAATTACGAGGATGAATTTAAATTTGAAGTATTTAGGTCAGGTGAAAAGGCAAAGGCATTGCCACCAACAAAGCGAAGTTTGTTAAGTGTACTAGCTAGTCTGTTTGATCCGCTTGGAATAATTAGTCCAATAATTGTGTATGCAAAGATTTTGTTTCAAGAAGTCTGTAAGGAAAAAATTGATTGGGATGAGGAATTTGCCGGGGAAACGCGTAGGAAATGGGAAGCCTGGGTTAAAGACCTTCTAGAAGTTAAGGAGATAGGTACACCCCGTTGTATGTATGCCAGTCCAGTAGAGGAGGTTTTAGAGTGTAGTTTACATGGGTTTGGGGATGCAAGTAAAAAATCATATTGCGCTGTTGTTTATTTTGTGTGTCAAACGAGGTTTGGGGTATATGTTCGGTTATTGACCTCCAAGGCTAGAGTAGCACCCTTGAAACAAACAAGCATACCCAGACTAGAGTTGATGTCAGCACGACTCCTTGCACAAGTAGTGAAATCAGTTAAGGAAGCATTTGAAAACCAGATTAGGATAGATTCTACTTATTACTGGCTTGATAGCATGACAGCCCTGTACTGGATAAAGAATAGAGGTGAATGGAAGCAATTCGTAGCTCATCGTGTGAATGAGATTTTAAAACTGACAATGAAAGGAGACTGGGGACATTGTCCGAGTAAAGAGAATCCAGCCGATGTAGGTTCAAGGGGTGAATTAGGTACACAACTGGAGGGTAACCAGTTGTGGTGGTCTGGACCAAAATGGCTTACAAAACCCAAAGAAGAATGGCCTAAGTTTGAGAGTGCGGGGAAGAGTCAGACGGTGGTAGAGGAAGAACGCCAGGTAGCAACGATGATTGTACAGGCAGACAGACAATGTAGTGTGAAAGATGTGATTGATATTAACAAATTTAGTAGTTCAGAGAAGCTTTTTGGAGTGACAGCATGCGTGATGAGATTCCTACGTAATGCTAGCGCAGGAGTAAAGAGAGTCGATAGGCAGTCTGGGGCTCTTTCAGTTGCCGAAATAATTGAAGCCGAAAAAATTTGGATTAAAGAAGCACAGGCAGAACTAAAAACTGAAAAGAAGTTCACCCAACTCAGTGTGAGTTTAAGGTTGAAGGAAGAGGAGGGTATCCTTAGGAGCCAAGGTAGATTAAAAAATTCAGATTTAGAAATTGACAACTGTTTTCCAATTATCCTGCCAAAAGAACATAGACTGACAGAGTTGATTGTCCGAAAATGCCATCAGAAAGTGCACCATTCGGGTGTACGTGCTACGCTGTGCAGGCTACGAACTAAATACTGGGTAGTTAAGGGAAGGCAGCTGGTAAAACGAATTGTGAGCCAGTGTGTAACTTGCAAAAGATTGGAAGGAAAAGCGTATAGCAGAGCACCACAGGCAGACTTGCCAGAATTTAGAGTCAGACAGGCCGCGCCGTTTTCGCAAGTCGGAGTCGACTTTGCAGGTCCGCTTTTTGTCAAACAGTCCGGTAATTGTTCTAACAAAGTGTATATTGCCTTGTTTTCATGCTGCGTGACCCGTGCAATACACTTAGAATTAGTGTGCAACTTATCAGCGGATACGTTTTTATGCTGTTTGAGAAGATTTGCAGCTAGGAGAGGGGCACCCAGTCTTATAGTTTCCGATAACACTAAAACGTTCAAGGCAGCGGAGAAAGCATTGAGGAAGATTTGTAATGAGCCGAAAGTCAGATCGGAATTAGGAGCCAAACGAATAACATGGAGATTCAACTTAGAGAGAGCACCTTGGTGGGGAGGCTTCTTTGAACGGATGGTGCGCAGTGTGAAAAGGTGTCTTAGAAAGGTGTTAGGGAATGCAAAGTTAAACCTTGATGAGCTGAGCACAGTGTTAGTTGAAGTTGAAGGCACATTGAATGCGAGACCACTAACAGAAGTATTTGAAGAGCTGGAAGGAGAAGTGTTAACTCCTTCACACTTGATATATGGTAGAGCAATACATTTAATTTCACAGAATGAGGTAGTCATAGGAGCGAGTAGCTGTGGGGAGAGATTTAAATATGTAACGTTAAAGTTGCAGCACTTTTGGAAAAGATGGAAGGGCGAATATTTAACGGGACTTAGAGAGTTTCACAAGTGCACAAACGGAGGAAAGTTAAGGAAGGTCCAGAAAGGAGATGTAGTGACGGTGTTCGGAGAAGGCGAGAAAAGATGTACCTGGAAGTTAGCAGTAGTAGAAGAGTTAATTGTAGGGAAGGATAAGGAAGTTAGAGGAGCAAAGGTTAGGCTTGCAGGTAAAGGAAAACCACGCTTCTTAAACAGACCAATTAAGAAGCTTTTCCCATTGGAAGTTCAATCTCGACCGGGTGGGGAAAGGGAGGAAAGGGACATCCCTACAGCTAAGCCGGAGGGAGACCAGCATGAACGAACAAGACGAGCGGCAGCCATAATTTCAAAAGCGAAAACAAAGGCGATGCTTGATTCATAGACGTGTATGAATCAAGGTGGGTGGGGTGTCGTAAGTTCCCAGCGCAGAACACCAGTCCACGGAGCGCGAGTTAATATGTAGTAAAACTTTATGTAAAATATCTGATTTGGGTAATGTGATCTAACTAGTAATTGTAATATGATATAGGGATATACCAAATAATGACCCATTGTATATAGCAAAATGAAATGTAATCTATCGATAATAAATCAGAATATACAGTCCCTTCGAGTGTGAACGTTTGATGAACCAGAAAGGCAGAATAAACGAAAGATTCTGCAACAGCTTTTGCTGTACTGGATTTTGATGTTTCTAAAGGGCTATTAAAGGTTACTTTTATTTCACATCATCACTGAAGTTTCACGCTCCTTTCTTATAACTGTTAACAGCATAATCACCTGCACATGAAAATTACATTTTCCATCATAGATTTTATGCATGTATAAAACAATAAACATTACAAATATGCTATAGTATGCAATTAGCCTTTCCTCACGATGATGTTTTTGGGGTACTTTCAATTTTTTCAAACGGGTTTTAAAAGTTATAACAAGATAAAAAGCAATTTTTTTAGAATCAACAGACCATTGGAAGAATAACTCCAGCCTAAAAATTAAAGACTGAGGCCGTTATGAGGTCTCATGTTTTGAGGAAAAGTACCCCAAAAATGGCGGCATATTCGTCATCGTGAGACTTTATATAATAGTCTAAGTCTTTAATTGTCTGGTATTAACTATATGCTCAAAGTTTCATGTTTATAGTTTGCAGAGAACAATCTCATTAGGAAATTATAGCTGTATACATCTCATTCAAAAGTTTTATTTCATATAATCTTGGAAGACAGATTTGTCTTAGTAGAACGTTCTCTGCACAACTTCGGCGATACTCTCTGCTGGGTGTACAGATGTTCCTGTGACATAAATCGTTCTAATTATCTTTTGTCTTTAAATGTATATTTACAAGGAACACTTGAAGGTAATAAATATTATAATAGACTGTGGTATGTTAATTTATAGCTATAGTTGCTATATATAGCCACATGACATTGATTGAAATGCATTTTTAAGTCGCACTGCACCGTAATTGTGTTTTATTTTAGAGTTAAAAACCGGTCTAATCCATGTGACCACTGCATTGTTGTTGAAAGGTTCATTGGTGTGGTAGAAGCAGTTGATGGCACATTACCGGAGAGTGTTGTAGGTATGACTTTATAATTTTGAATTACGTCCATAAATGCCATGTAAAGGTTGATTAAAAGAGATTGATTGAATTGTTTTCTCAGACTTAGTGTTATTACCACATTTAATACATTAGTTTACAATATTATAACCACTTTACCATTCTCATATCTTTTTAGCTAATGATGTTCACTATAATGATCACGGTTATTTTGTAAGTATGAAATTTTTTGAATTTATATTTCTCAGTTTCTCAATATGAAAAATGTTAACTGCCCCTCTAAAAAGTAGACCCCGTACGCCTATGACTACAGTCTACATATTGTATAATTGGGTACAACTAGGGCTACATGTTAGTACATTTTATTCACAGAATACGGATGATATATTTGAATTACCATGCAGCAAGAATGTGGTCTGCGCTTGTTTTCGTGGCGAATATGCGTTTGTTGGGTCGGATCAGCATGGGCTTAAATGCCTCTCGTGCAAATACGACACGCACAGCTGTTCCCATGTTTCATTTGTGGAGAGCAAGCTTAATGAAGATGACGAGTCATTTCCTTTACTTCGACAAGTTTTCTTTGAACGACCTTTTAGACGTCCTCCTTCGATCCCGGTATGCCTATCAAAGCTCAAAATTATGTTTAATGCTGAAATCTGCAACACTCGCTTTATGCGAGATGTAAAATCTTTCCTACCTACCAACAAAACGGGCTCATATCAAATTATACCAGGTGGTGATAATTGTGTAAGCACCCATTGTCATTCCTGTTCATCTCTGTGGTCGAACGAATGCGCGAGAGAAAAAGGCTGGCTAGTTCCTAACGTAAAGTTATATATTTTCAATGAAACGATAAAGTGTAATGGTGCGTATATTGTTATTACATAAATGTATTGTCGCGTTATAATGTGAAACCTATATTTAACTATAATTTTGTTACGATTCTTCAAGTTTTCCCGCTTAAATCCACTATTTTTCACTAGTTCGACAAATTTTGTTCAAATTTAACCAGCTTCGTTTAATAGCTTTTGGGTAAGAATTTTTAACATAACAATATTGTTTCCTGGATTGGGAAGCTCTTTTTACTTATATATCATGCGTGGTTAAATATCGACAAATTTTGTTCAAATTTAACCGTCTCCGTTTAATAGCTTTTGGGTAAGAATTTTTAACATAACAATATTGTTTCCTGGACTGAGGAGCTCTTTTTTACTTATATATCATGCATGGTTAAATATCGACAAATTTTGTTCAAATTTATAACCAGCTTCGTTTAATAGCTTTTGGGAATAGTTTACTGGATTGACGTCTCTTCCGGCAATTTAACGTAATATAAGACCCTGGTTACACGTTATTTTTTTCCGAGGCTGCTGCATCAAGTTTAGGTAATTCCATGCAGTCTTGTCTGCTCTTGTCTTGAGGCGTATGCAGCTTTTTGTATTTGACGTTAACCTCATAGTGAGCGTATAAAGCATAGAAAAAAGCCATAATTATCTTAGTGAAATATACTTAAAAATACATATTATAAAAATATATAGAATAGCTAGGAGTTAGAATGTAATTCAATATTTTGAATTTGGAAGAAGTGAAAAAGGTAACTTCATGTAATAAGTTCAGAAGTTTTTTTATTTAGTGCATGCAACAGTTCTGACGATGAAACCAGAGAGTTAATTTCGGCAACGTTTATAAAGTACTTCTTCAGCCCTGCATCGACTGACGTTTGAATTCAAAGACATAATCCATATGTTGATCTAAAATAAAGAAAGCATTGTTACTGAACTGAACCATATGTTTGGACGTTGAGGAATCAAGTTGAGAATAAACGCTCTTCATGTCCTATATACAATTTAGTTTAACCTTATCTAACTTACTTCGGGCACCAGTACATCTAATTGAAAGTAAACTTTATTACTCCTCGACCGTTCAACGTCATGAGGCCAACAATCATCTCGAGCAATCAACTGCTTTAGCAGCTTGCTTGTTAAGAATTCAATCTACAGGTATAAGACATATATATACACACAGAAGTGATCGCAACAAGATTTTGGTCTGCGCATTATTGATGCACTTCCATTGGATAAGTTGCAAACTTCAATTGTTATCATTGAAATTGGAAACTAACTGTGTCATCGTTTTTCATGACCAATCCTGCCGCACGCTTTAAAGAATAAGGAGAACGCTTCTTCAGGTAATCAAAACGACGACTTTTTATCGCCCCCTTTACGATGTCCTGGATAAAACTCTAAGTAGAAACACATGCTCGGGTATGGTAAAAATAAAGTAAAATGCACGCACATGAATCTTTCTGTTCGGGGTAATGCGTGATATTTTACGTAGACAACCACTAATTATTTGGCACTCAAACTTTGTTTTAAAAACATTAAATTATATATCAAATACTTAAAATTGTAAATTGGTTTTTCTAATAATTATTTTTTTAAATGGTTTCATACCTGCAATCTGTTTTCCTTGCAAAATGTTTCCAGATCAACCGGGCTTAAGTGTACCAGACTGTAGAAAAAGTTAAAAGGGAATAAATAAACATAACGTGTGTCAACATAACGTCACGTGGAAAACATTATATATAAGAAATATTTTGCATCTACATGCAGTATGATATAGCTAATGATGAATGGTCATCATTTATGCGTAATTAGTATTTTTATATACAGCAGCTGATTTAATATGATTGCCATTTATAAACGCACCAATTTGATATTTCGACGTCTTGTGTGCTGCACCCACAAAACCAGGATTTCTTCATTTTCCGTGGTGGTCTGAAGAAAACGCATCCCTTATGGAACCATAGTCTACAGCGATCACACGAGACCCACATTACTTTTTCTCCCTTCTCTAAATCCATTTCATATTGACAAAAGGCTCCGGCTGCACACACACCAACAAAGGATTTGCAAAAAGTGTTAAATTCTAAAAAAAAATATTCAGAAGAAATTATCCAAAGTGAAAGAATTTGCAATTTCTTTAATGATTTAATTTTTCAACATGCAAGTGACAAGGATTGACAGCTTTTATATGATAAGAAAATGCTGGCATATACTTCATTTCATAAAAGGATTAAAAGATTGGAAAGAAATACTTCTCATAAGATAAAAGTCCAGAGAATAATATCAAAGAATTTCGTAAAGAGCATGCATAATTTTTGTACATATCCATGCCGTTTAAAATTAGACAATGAAAACTTGACTTCATACCATTTTTATCTTTGCATTTCTGTAGTGGGACAATATGGTTTCGCTTGCCACCGCTAAGGGAACACCACAGGATGTGAATAGGAGGGACATTTGCAGGAATATCTAAAGGTATAACCTCACTATCATAAAGTTCCATTCCAGTTGCTGTGCAATGCTGGATAATCCTCCGCTGCAGTGTATCCGCCATTATAAGAATTTGGAGATATCCTATCACATGTAATATAATGTAAAATTAGTTATGACATTATTAACTGTTGGAATAAGTGGCAAAATATACAGGTAGACTATATAAGTATAAAGAAACCATTTATACTTGCAAAAATGGTGATTTGAACTGAGTTTTCTGCTTGTTTAAGTATATAGCTACTTAATGAAATACAGACTTAAATTATCGAATTTTCTGTCAAAAAGAAAGTAATACATCATTTAGATTAAGGCAATCTTGACCATTATTCATCAAGCCTAGCTGCTTAAGGCGATATTTTCTCGTTTGAACATGTCAACTAGCTTTGCAAGTCGAGATAAAAGGTCGAATAAAAAAAGCAGAACCTACACAATAAACAAGAAGTTATGGTTATATAATATGTATATAATATGTGTAATATCTAT